GTCCTCTGTTTCTGGTTTTGAATCTGTGGTCCTGATTGCCTATCTGTCTAGCTGGCAGCCTCTGGACACCTTCATTCTCTTTATTACTGGTTGCTGGATATTCTTCAGTACACTCCATTATCTTGATTCTAATGAATTCCAGACGGAAACTGGCATCAGTGAGGAATCATCATTGTACAAAGTGCTACCTGAAAGAAGGGACCTCTTTTAACCATATCAGAAGATCCCAGATGTAGATCACCCCCTGTAAGAGACAGTTGGTGTCAATACTTGTTTCTCTACACTGCTTTCCCTTCTCCTTCCTACTGCTGAATAAATAAATATTTTACTGGAGTAGCTACTATGGCCCCGTGCCCTTGGAAAACCTATGAGATAGAAAAGAAATCTGAAATTCTCTAATTTTTTTCTCCTTCCATGATCACAAGTGGAGTCCACCATCACAAGAGGAATCCATTACAGCTTGCAGTTCTAGCACAATGGGGGTCCTGTCCATGACTAGTGTTCCGAGGTCCTATAGTACTACAAACAGTTAGTTAATAATAGGGCTATAGACTAGTTGCTTACAGATAGCCATCCTTATTGTTAACAAGAGTCTCAGATTGTTACTTGAAGGACCAGTGGGAATGAATTGAAAGGAGGCTACACACCCTGATGTTCGGGGAAGGTTAGGTGGCAAACTATGGACTTGGCATATTGCTGGAACAATCTTCCATGCTCCTTACATCTGTGGCAATTATAATGGTCTTGAATTGGAGAAGAGTAGTATATGGACTGTTGAGAGACGGTGGGGAAGCAAACCTGCATGCTTTATTGAACGTGGTATCTAATACCATTACTTTGCAGCAGGATCGAACAACAAAATAAAGTTTAGAATAATATGAAACCCAGCTAGGACAAGATATAACTGGCCTTTTACATGCACGCTGTAAACTCTCCGGGGTGAGGGGTTAGCTGAAAGTAATAGCGAGGACAGACATTTTTCACTCTGCTAATTGTCATTGAAATCTATAACGACATCGGAAATTGAGCTGGGTGTGCATGCATTTGGATGATAAATCCATGTCCGAGGCTTAAGAGGTTGATTTAAGTTGATTAAAGTTACTCTCCCATACAGTAATTTATTTTATACTTTTAACGGCTTATTATTTGTTATTTGTAGGTTGATTGCCTAGGTTGTGAATGTGATGTAAGTAGATATAGACAGGTGGACTTTTTAATGGTTTTCCTTAAAATTTCCCTTTTATTTGAATTGATTGAATGAATTATGATCATGTCAAAGTACCTGCCAGTACAGTGATGACATATTGCTTGCTGTAAGCAGCTCTGAACTAGTTCTATGCAGCCTTCTAGACTGGATATTCAAATACAAGTTTTCATACTCTGCCACTACTGTTTGTTTAATATTGTTCATACAAAGATATAATTTTAAAAAGTTGCCATGTGTCATTGAGTGACTTCGTATTCAATTAAATGTTTAATGTATGTGGCAAGTTGAAATATACATCTACTGTGAGTAAGAAATGATGTGCATATGACTGGAAGCCAACTGATCTAGATCTAGTCTGCATTCTAGTTTGTTGTCTTGCTTTGTTTTACAAAATTGAGTATCATTTGCCATATTTTGTCGAGAAGGAAGTTGTGGTCCATGTTAACATTAGTTTCCACCTTAATTTTTTTAAATTTAATTTTTAATTTAATTAATGGAGATATCCTATCTCCTAGAACTGGAAGGGACCCTGAAAGGTCATCGAGTCCAGCCCCCTGCCTTCACTAGCAGGACCAAGTAGTTGGAAAATATGGCTAATGCTACTTAACCTCCTTTATAAAATACTTCAGGGTGAAAAGCACTGTATGAAATGCTAAATACATTGATTTGCTTTTAGTTTTTTCTTACACTCATTTTGAAGGAGCTTTAGATTTTTTTAAATATTTGGGGACTCACATATGATGCTATTATATAAACATTCAGATTGTCTCCTAACTGATTTTTTGGAAGTGTATTGAACTATTGCGCTGCAGAGTGTAATATCACATTATAAAAAACGAGCCTCTAGTGTTTTCGGTTGCTCAGATATAACCTCCAAAATATAAATTGATTGTAACTAGGTACATCTGCACTGCAGCTGGAGGGGTCATTTCTGGCTTGGGGAGACACACACACATTAGGTTTGATTGAGCTAGTGGGCTAAAATATAGAAGTGTAACCCTGGTAGCACAGGCTTGCTGGCTAAGTATGTACCTAGGGTCTTGGGAAGGATTATACTCCGGTGGCTAGCCCAGGCTGCTGTCTGCACTGCCACAGGTTCACAGCTATATTTAGTCTCACTAGCTTGATCAAAGCTAGCATGAATATGTCTATCTGAGCTGGAAATCACACCTCCAACTCCAGTGTTAACTTGTCCTAGTGTTGTCTGCAGAAACAATACCTCTGAGGAAGGTGTTAATTGCTTGTTTACATCACAATCAAATTTTAACTATAAAGTCTATTTGTTAATCTAGATTAACTATTTCATTGCTGGCCATGTTAGCAGAAACATTAAGTTAGGATGCAATGGCAATATTTGCACATGGGGCTGCAGAGTAGCTAGTGGTTGGCTAGGTTTCCAGGCTTCAGAACTGAGGAATTTTAAACTTTCTCTTCCTCCTATTTAAAGTCACCTCCACCTTGCCAAAAGCAATGGACAGAAGAGTTGTATCATCACCACCCAATGACTTAGTGCCAAAGAACTTCCCATCTCTTTCTATGTGCCAAATACCTCAACTATCCCCTACCCACCCATCAAAAGCTCTAGTCCCACCGCCTCATTTATTTCTATAATGCATGGAAGGAATTTAACATCAACATTAGTGAACACAAGGGGATACCATATTGGATTGAACTAGATGGGACTGGGGATGGGGAAATGAGGGGAGATTACTCCATAAATCCATGATTCTTGCCACATCAGTTATGTATAATGCATTGCATAGGCTAATATGCCCTGGCCTATTGCAAAATGCTGCACACGTATACCTCACAACGGAAACACTGTCCTCACTGCAGCACCAAGCCAAAGTAGACGTGTGGAGGCAAAGGGAGAACAGTCTTCCTCTCTCCAAAATACAGAGCAACTCCACAGAGGCTGTTCCAGATTTTGGACAGACAAAGATTCCGTATGTGATACGATTTCCCCGCACAAGGCCAAGGACTGGAGAATTCACATGGTGGTAGAGCCCCTGGCCAGCCCCTGCTCTGTCTGCTTTGTAGTACTCTGCAGATATCCTCCACTAGTAAAGCCTTCGTGGCTTTTACAATGGTTTGGTGATAACTGATAGGCATTCAGGATGGTAGAAATGGGCAGAAAATAGATATATTAGAAAGGCATATACATTAAAATGTGATTAGATGAAATACGTTTTCTCTCCAACTTTTCCTTTGTTCCCCTTACTGTATTATATTTTTTTGTCTATTTTTTTGCCAAATTAAACTTTGTTTTCTTATTACAATGGTGTGAACAAAACTTGCTGAGAACTTTTCAGAGACACAGATCACCAGCTACCCTACTTGAGAGCAATGAGAGCTGTGGGCACTCAGCCACTTAAAAATCAGGCCAGGGACTTTTCTGTTTCATATTCTACTTCTGCTTAGTTATTCCTCCTTTTCAGCTTTCCCCCTCCTGCCCCCAACTATATGCAACTCTTCATCTTATCCCCAAAGTTAGCTCTTTTCTTTCCCAGCTGTTCCCCATGGATCTCTAATTTTTATTTTTTTTCTCCCAAGTTGGGATGAGGGAGCATCCCTCTCTCTCTCTCTCTCCCCCCACCTCTGCCCTTGCACATCCTCCACATTCATAGACTTTCTCCAACATTTCCGCTCTCCCACAGTATAAGGTATGTTCAGAACCATAGCCACAGAGGTCTCACCTCTCACTCTAAGCAGGAATATAAATGGTAGGGTAAACCATGGTGAGTAGCAGCTGACCATCTGTCTACCAACTTGTGGAAGAAAATATGTAAATACCAGATGTGTGAGTAGGATGTGGATTCCAGAATTAAACCATTCTGAGATTTGCATCCCAAATATCAGCACTGGCAAAATGCTTCCCACGGTCACTTTCAGATCACAGTTAAAAGGCAGGCAGGCCGTGCATGCAGCTAGCTGAATACCAACTGATCCCAGGGGAGATTTCTTCTGGAACTCCGCAAGAGGCAGGCAGTGATGACTGAGAGTAGAAAAATGTCGCCTCTGTTTAGCATTCCACTAATTATAATAATAATTTTGGTCATTGGAGGGTTTGTTGGAAACGGATTTATTGCAGTCATTAATTGCCTTGACTGGATCAAAAGTAGAAAAATCTCTTCCGCTGATATGATCCTGATCCCTCTGAGCACATCAAGATTTGTGTTCCTGGGGATTTTAACAGTGTATATCCATAGTCTCTACTTTCCAGATATACCCAAACTGGCTCCTCTGTATACAGCATCTGTTATCCTATGGATGTTTGTAAACCATGCCTCAGCATCTTGTACTGCAAGAAGATCATCAGTTTCACCCAACCGCTCTTACTGCAAATGAAGCAGAGAATCTATGGGAAGGTTCCATGGCTGCTCCTGGGGTCGGTGCTGGTTTCTTCTGTCACCTCTATCCCATTGTTGTAGACTCTGCGTGCAATTCAGCCCTGCAGCTCAACAGGGGATCATCCAGAGAACAACTCTGTGGCAGATATTCATTTGCATAGCCCAGATCTCTCTTTTTTTTCTGTACATTGCAGAGAGTTTCTTTCCTCTTACAATATCTCTGGTGTCTTTAATCTTATTAATTACTTGTCTATGGAGTTACACCAAGAAGATGCAACAAAATATAGCCAGCTTCAGGGATCCTAAGACAGGTGCTCATATAAATACCATTAAAGCATTGATCTCTTTCCTTATCCTCTGTGTTTCCAGTTTTGCTGCTCAAATTCTATTATTACTCCTTAACAAGGTAGATAACTCCATTTGGACTTTTGAAATCTGTGCAGTAATGGTTGTTGCATATCCTTCGGTACATTCCATTATCTTGATTTTAATTAATTCCAAACTAAATGAGGCATTGGTGAGGATTCTCCAGTGTGCAAAGTGCCATCTGAGAAAAGAGACTTCTTAAACCATATCACGAGACCCCCAGAGGGATGCCATCCCTCCTGAAATAGAACTGGAATCAAGCCTGACCCCCCTTTTCTCAAAATGTATTCTCTTTTCCACCCTATCCCTCAATTAAAAATGACTTCCCCCTCTTAGGTATTAGTATGATTGGCACTCTTTACAACCTCAGAATATTGGCAGAGATTCAAATTTTATTTCCATCACTTTTCTCCATAAGTGCATCACCAGAGGAATCCATTTGAATTGGTCATCCAGGTGGGGACAAATCATCTCTATAATCACAAAGAAGAGTATCTGACCTTGTGTTTTCTAAAGACCAGTGGGAATAAATTGAAAGGAAGCCAAACATGAACATTCTGGGCATCTTAAGTGACAAACCATGGACAGGATGCAGCGTGGGCGCTGTCTCCCAGTTTTGTGGTTTTTGAATCGGACAGTAAAAGTATATGCCGAGCTGGAGGTAGGGGGAGAAAAGCACAGTCAAAACTTACAGAGGGATCAGTGAATCTGGCATCAAACATCATCTCATTGCTCCAAGACCTGAGACCAAAGAAAGATTAGATCTGGAGAAAA